ATTGTTTTATATTGTACTTGTCCCAGACTTCCTATCTTTAACAATGAAAATTATACAGAAAATTATCACAAGCTTAAAATATGATGTGAAATGTTGGTGGCAGTTTAGCCTTGTGGGCAGCACGCTACGGGTGTCCCGAATTCGAATCCCAGCTTGAGGACCTTTCCCAATCTTGCTCCCCTCTCTCTCCCACTTTGCTTCCTATCATCTCTACACTGTCCTATAAATGCAAAAACGCTAACAAAAAAAAAAAGATGTGAAATAAACACAAACCATTCTAATATTTATTGTGTGAAAATTATTTATACCACAATTTCCTCCACTGTTTTCATTTTAATTTTAGTTAAAGGTTTATTGCTTTTTTTTTGTCATGTGCGTGTGTGTGGTCCTAGTATTCCTTACGTTACGGGGACCAAATGTCCCACCAAGTATAATAATAATACCAGTACATTCTGACCTTGTGGGGAACTTTTTTTGGTCCCCATGAGGAAACAAGCTTATAAATCATTCAGAATGAAGTTTTTTGAAAATCTAAAACAGCAGAATGTTTTGTGTGAGGGGCAAGTTTAGGTGTAGAGTTAGAGTAAGGGGATAGAAAATAGTTTATACAATATAAAAAACATTTCACCTATAGAATGTTCGCATAAAACATGGAAACTCAATGTGTGTGTCTATATAGTTTTCATGCATTTTTATTTTTAGTTATTTTAGTACATCAAGTTAAACTAAATTGAAACAAGAAATGTTGCCTTGGCAACTAGCTGAAATGAAAAGTTTTTTCCCTAAGTATTATTATTTTTTCATGGTTTAAATTTTAGTTTCAGTTTTGGTTCTAGTTACAATAACCTAGTTCTAGTTATAATTACCCTGCTCCACACCAAACAGTTCTGTACCTAATAAATTTCTATTGAAAAGCTTGAGATGAAATATGGGACATGTTCTGTATAAAGAAAACAAGGTAAATATCACTTGTGCACAGATTTTTATTTATTTATTTTTTTACTAAGTATAATTTCCAGTCAAGCTGTAATTTGTGAAATTTTGCAAAAAGTGTGAAAATATTAGTTAATTGTGTGTTTTTTAGCATATGAAAAAAACTGCTTGCTGAGAATTAGCAACTAGAAAGACAAAAGAACAATTTTTAATTCCAAAAATGTTCAAATGTAATTTCCGTCATTTTCACCACAGAATGCACAATTCATTTGGGAGCGTGGCAGCCCCTACAGCCAATAGTGTTTGCATTTAATTTATATATTTTAGAGATGTAAGGACAGATTGCGATTTCTATGCTGGGTTTTATTTTGTGCTCTCCAGCAGAAAACAGCCGCTCATTTTGTTGGCTTGAGCTTGTTGCCAATTAGGAATGCTTAAATAATGACCTGCAGAGAGCCGTTGTCCTCCTAGGAGGCCTGTGCTGACATGCTGACTTTTCACTCATCTCCAGTAAAGTCTGACGTCCTGTATGGGGTTACATGGTGAGCGCTGATCTAGATTTAGCTGTGCTTGCCTGAAAATCTCTCGATGATCCTTGCAACAGCAGAAAATGGTTACTTCTAATAACACCATAGCAAACATTCATGTCTATTAATGGACAAGACCCAAGCTTCCCCACAGCCTTCACTGGTATTTCCCATAATGCTCTTGTGCACATGTTAATAAAGCTGAAGTGCTTCTACTGGAGCTCTGCACCTCAGTGCCAGATTTAAGCTTGTGATTCTATGATGCAATAAAGTGTGTAATTAATTTCTGGTACAGGTACCAACTCCCCTGGATCCGTCCCGCACTGACACTCCAATAATATCATCACTAAACATCAACCCTTAAAGGAATATTCCAGACTTAGTACAAGTTAAGCACAATCGACAGCATTTGTGAAATATATTACCATAAAAATTCATTTTGACTCATCTCTTCTTTTTCTGCACTTACAGTGATCACTCTGGAGGCCTCTAGGGACAGGCTTACATAGGACGGACGACCTCCAGGGTGGTACCCGTTCCGGGACACATGGCGGATCAGGGAGCTCAGGGGGCCATGGCGGAGCAGGCAGACAAGGGAGCCATGGCGGAGCAGAGAGTTCAGGGGCCCATGGCGGAGCAGGGAACTCAGGGGGCCTGGCCTTGGCACTCGGCCCGGCCTCTACGGCCGGATCCCTATAACTCCCCCCCAAAAAAAATCCTTGGGAAAATTATCGGCCCCTAAGGCCCTCCGTGGGCCTGACGTAGGAGCAGCGGCCCCCCCTGGGCTTGACTCGTGAACTGTGGCCCTCCCTGGGCTTGACATGGGAACAGGAGCCCTCCGTGGGCTGGACGTGGGAACAGGAGCCCTTTCAGGAGCGGACTCAGGGGCTGGAGCCGACACTGGAGCGGACTCAGGGGCTGGAGCCTACAGTCGCTTCCTCTGCATTCTCCTTTTATAAGCAGAGGTGAAGGAGACTGCTGCTGTCAGCCGAGGGCTTGGGAGTGAATTGGCCTGCAGGCTTGACTGTGGGACGGCCCGCGGGCTGGACATCAGAGCGGCTGGCGGGCTGGTTCTGGATCGGGGCCGGACGCTCTCCAGACACCAGAGGATCCCTTCCCTCCAGCTTAACCCTGTGGTGTCTGGGAGGTCAACGGGGCGGTAGTAATTTTCCCCGATCCAGAACAGAGAGTTAAACGTGGCATTGTCTAGTGCCGTCGTCGTGGCGAGTCCGCAGAATTCCCGGGCGTACTCCACGAAGGGAAGATCTCTGCGAGCTAGGGCGGCGAATCTCACGGCAGTTTCCATGATCGCGGGGGGGAAAACAGAAAACAAAACACTTTCAAAACAGGAAACAAAAAACGAGAAGAAGGGGCGCCGCTTACTGTTCGGTCCTGTCTTCTGTCACAGTTGCACTAATGCGAGGAGCTAGGAACGAGGAGACGTAGGAGAATTCACAAACACTGTCTTTAATGATCCATGAATGAGGAGTACAGGGCAGGCAGGAACACACAGGTAGTACAACAGGGATTGACGATTAAAACAGGACGCAGGACTAAACACAGGGCTATATACTAGAACTAAATGAGGGAATTAACAAGACACACCTGACCTCAATAAACATAATCAACATGAGGGAAAAACTAGGTCACAGGAGGGAACATGGAACACGTGGGGGAGGAAGGGCTGGTTCTGGATCGGGGCCGGACGCTCTCCAGACACCAGAGGATCCCTTCCCTCCAGCTTAACCCTGTGGTGTCTGGGAGGTCAACGGGGCGGTAGTAATTTTCCCCGATCCAGAACAGAGAGTTAAACGTGGCATTGTCTAGTGCCGTCGTCGTGGCGAGTCCGCAGAATTCCCGGGCGTACTCCACGAAGGGAAGATCTCTGCGAGCTAGGGCGGCGAATCTCACGGCAGTTTCCATGATCGCGGGGGGGAAAACAGAAAACAAAACACTTTCAAAACAGGAAACAAAAAACGAGAAGAAGGGGCGCCGCTTACTGTTCGGTCCTGTCTTCTGTCACAGTTGCACTAATGCGAGGAGCTAGGAACGAGGAGACGTAGGAGAATTCACAAACACTGTCTTTAATGATCCATGAATGAGGAGTACAGGGCAGGCAGGAACACACAGGTAGTACAACAGGGATTGACGATTAAAACAGGACGCAGGACTAAACACAGGGCTATATACTAGAACTAAATGAGGGAATTAACAAGACACACCTGACCTCAATAAACATAATCAACATGAGGGAAAAACTAGGTCACAGGAGGGAACATGGAACACGTGGGGGAGGAAAACAAACACCAAAACACTCCATGGGCATGACGAGGGGGAGTTGTTTTTTGTGAATTTGGGGGAAAACTTTACACTAAAAAATATCCTGTTAAATTTACAGTAAAAAAACTGGCAGCTGGTTGCAAGAAATTCACCATAAAAAATACTGTGACAACATAATAATGAATTTTATTAAGTGATATAATGTTAATACATATGACTAAAATCTACTTTTTACCTTGACTTTTTCTTTGACCATTTGCAATAGCACTGAATATGTCTGTGATATATTCATATTCCTAAATTAGTAGGTGGGCTAAACAGGAGACACATGGTGACATATGTGAGCTATTACCGAAACTTTCAAATGCTAAAGGCCACAGAAAAATGGATTCCTTTGTTGTAAATCTTTGCACCTGACATATTGTTGGGGTACTCCTTAAATCGCCCCTTCAAGCTCAAACAAACTAAATGTATGAAATGACAAGTAGAAGACAGGTAATAGTGCTTTTTACTGTGAACCCATACAAAAAGCACCCAAAGCATTCACATTAACAAATCATTCTCATTATACAAATCATTTTTGTAAAATATTAATATGAACATACGAAACACAGTTTTAAAACATGTAAGGCTATTACTTTTTTGTCAAATAGTATTGTTAAATGCATAAAGGATAAGGACAACAATAATAAGCATTCAAACTAGTAATTATATTAAAACTACTTTACAAAATAAACATTATAAATATTTACTAATTGGAATTTAAATGTTAAGACTTCTCTCATGTGTTAACATAGTTAATGCATTAGTTAACATGAACTAAATCTGATTTGAATAGCATTTACCGTTAAAATTATTTAAAAAAAATGATGCATTCATTGTTCATGTTGCATTTATTAATGTTAACAGATATGACTTTTGAAAAATGTATATCAACTAAGATTAATGAATGCTATAGAAGTAGTTAATTGTTAGTTCGTTAACTAATTTAGTTAACTAATGTTAACTGTGAAACCTTATTATAATATTATAAAATGTATTATAATATTATACATTTTTGACCACTGATTACAGTCACAATCATAGGAAGAGATCACTTGTTGTAGTTTATAAACCCTTCATAAACTTTGTAATGCCTGTCATTTCTCTTACGTTTAAAAATTTTTTTTTGCGAATAAACTGTATATTCTTGCACTCTTAACATGATCCCCAACCCTAGCCAAATTTCCAGTGTTGTGGTCAAAGTTCGGCTGCTCTTGCCTGACTCCTCCCCCCGAGTTCGACACGGTCGTCTCTCGGCTCTGCTCAGGCTTGTCAGTGCGGGCGAGAGCGCTGCTAAACATGGCGTCGGACGGGATGATTTTAACCAACCACGACCACCAAATCCGAGTTGGAATATTGACAGGTAAATACAAAATGACACTAGCTCCTTTTACGCCTCGTCGCTCGCGCTGGTCTTGCCCGCTGTTGTTTGTCGTGCCGGTGGTGATTCCTATCTGAGCGAGTTCTGCCCAGCTATCGCTCGCGTTCCTCGACTCATTTGCAAAAACTGTGCGTTTATTTATCTATATATTCTCGTATTGATTTTATACGTCTATGCGATAATGTATCCGGCTCTATGAGATCTGGCTTTGGTCTGTCATGCAGCACAGCTCAGTGTCAAGACAACAGTTTGTGTGATGAATTATTCATAGCTTGTACGCAAGACATCCAAATAACATAGAGCAGATCGTTGGAAAACCCTCTTTATATCTGTGAATGAACCCTCCAATCGCTGCTGTATGTCTGTTTATGGTCTTATTAACATGTGTGGTTGCTGAATTGTGCTGTTATGTAGATACGAGTTGGTATTTGGAGTTGGTCACGCAGTGTTTTTTTTTCCTCATGGATTTCTGCACAGCAGCATCTCAGCTTCGGGTTTGCTTTGAGGCTGCATTTGTACACATGCACGGTGATCTGCATATATATATATATATATATATATATGCAGCGTCTCGTGCAATATATATCGTCCACTCAGGAATGAACTTTAAACACGACTTTAAGTGTTACCGATAATGGCTTTCACTATGCACGCGATTAAGTGGTGTTCTCTTGCATGCATTCATTGATCGCCACCCCAGTTTTGGCTAAAAACGGGAATGAAGCAGCCGCCTTCTTGTTAAATATCGCCGCCGTAGCTTCCCTTCGGGAACAAGGGTAATGAGTGATGAATAGCGATGTCCGATTCGTGAACGTATCGTTCTTTTGAGTCAGATCTTTATAATGAATCTGTCCACGATTGAAGGATGGAACTCGTTCGTTTATGAGTCGGATTGATCGATCTGTTTTCCTGTCGGACTGATTCAGCCTGAGCGAATCTGACTCATTAACTCACTGATTCGAGAACCGTTTTTCGAAAATGAGTTCCGTAAATACATTTCAAACTTAATTATGTGACAGTTTTATCAACATGCATGAATGTGCGGTCACATTAGAAACATTACAGTAAAATTAGTTTGCACCCTTTTTCCCAATTGCATGGATTCCTTTTAAAATTAGTATTTCGCCGACGAAAATTCGGCAAGAAAATGTAACTGCACCAGAGGTTTTTTTAAATATAAATTTAAAACCGCATTTATAAAAAAACATGCAACAACTTTTTCATTGATTTTGTAAATGTAAGTGACTGTTTATGATTTGAATTATAGCTAGAACAAACTAAGGTTGGAGACATGAAATTACTATAATGACCCTTATTAACAGAATGCAGCTTAATAAACAGCATTATATGCGTATAGATGGTTTTACTGGAAGGTTTTAGAGCATGTAATATACCACAGCTGGATGTTAGGGATCACGTGATGACGTAAACAAATCATTGAATAATTTTCTTTGTAACAAACTGCTTAAAGGAACCAGTTTGTGGAAATGAATCGGACTTACCATTACGAGTGATGAAATGCACACACTGACTGAATGCAAATGTCAGTGATTTTGCAGTGTGTCACATATTCATGACATTCGTCTCGCCGTTTTTCCGCTAGCACGAGCCTCCGAGATGCTTGTCGCGAAGGGGGAATGGTATAAAACATGGTGGGAATCCCCCTCCCCCCACTACACACATACACCCCCCTGTATAAGCATGACTGCTGTCCGAGGGTCCTGTCCACTGTTTTGTGGTGCTGAAATGCCATCAGCCTCATATTTGTGAGGCTGCATTTTCCTCAGCTGTGTGGAGCTGTAACAAAAATATATTTGAGGAAGTGAGAGGGATTTTTCCGAGGACATTATACACACCCCCCTTCTTTTTTCTCTTATACTAACATCAGCTGATCTAGTCCATCATTAGTCGCAGTCACGCCTAGCCCTTCTAGGAGATTGGTTAGCATGCCTGCACTGTGTAGGGGCATTTCGTGGAAGCGCACGCTTATTGATGAGGAATTCTGTGTGTGTGGAAGTGTGTGTGTGTGTAAAGAAGGCAGGGAGGGAGTGAGAGCGAGTATGGATGCCTTAGAGTGAGACGAAAATGGGACCAATCACATAGAACTACGGAATGTGCATACTTAATAGTGTGCAAGCGACACATCGCCATTTATAGACCGTTGTGCATGGACAAGCAAAAACCTTTTGACCCCTTGTTTGAGATGTTGTAAATTGGTGAAATAGAAACATGGCAGGGGCTTCCAAATGTGGCTTAGTCTAAAAATAAGTCTCCAAAATGTTTAGACTTTGCATTAAAATTGCATGCAAATAGAATTGAAATCAGAAACGATTGATTTTGTGCTATTCAAAGTTGGTTTGTTTTGGTGTTTATTTTTAGGGTAGCAGATGAGACCGAGTCTGCATGTTCTGCAGATTTCCGAGTGGTTTCCAGGCAAATGTTATCATTGTTCCGAGAGCTGTCTGGTATTACGAATGTTTTACATATATCATTCATAGCCTGGAACATTTTAGGGGGAAATATCGAATGAATACAAAGGATGGATACAGGATTCTCTGGATTCTCAAGGTTTTGGTTGAATACTGAGCTCAGAGGCTTTCATTTTTAGATGGGTGTTGCTTTTGGTTTTTCATAGAACAGTAAACTATTTGTGTATCCTACAAACCGCCTCCTGAAGGGGATTGTGATATTGGACTGAATTTTTTGTGTTGTAAATGCCATATATTTACTGCATTCATCAGGTTTGCTCAACCAAGCGTTTTTCATTCTGATTACTTCAGCTGTAGTTGCATGCTATGGAGGGTCAGACACATCTATTGGTAAGTCGTTGGTTCCTCTTTGATATCTGATACATGAAATGACACATAGAGAAAAAGCGCAAGCTTTTAGATCATTTCCTCTCCACTTCTCATCTTTCCATTCAAAGGTGCCAGCATCAGAGTTACATTCATGGCTGTGAATGCTGTCAGGGCTTGTGTCTGAGGTGTTCAGAGTGATCCTCCCGTGTGGGCAGGGCTCCTCCTTCTGAACAGCTGGTCGTGCTTCAACGAATAAACTGAAGTCAGGTGCATGCCTGCCATTGATGGGCTTTATTTCCTGTAACACAGGAAATGATTGAGTTCTTGAATTTTTAGTATTGTCTCAGTGGTTGTTTTTAGGGCTGAACGATTTTGGAAAATAATCTAATTGCGATTTTTTTTTACCAATATTGCGATTGCGATTTAATATGCAATTATTTTTTTTAAAGCTCTTTGTGTTCTGTATTATTCAACAAAGACAAGCTATAAATCATTGTATAGTATGACCAACACACTATTAGATAGATTAAACATAAATGTTCTTTTCTGTAGGCCAGGCCTATATGTTACGATGAAATTAGGTGATGCATGAATTGATATGAATGACATTTTTAACAACTACAATCACAGTAAATTGACTGATTTGTTGAACTTCTAACCTTGTGAGCATGTAATAATTAGGACAACATAAAGCACTGACAAATAAGCCTGATGTAAACATGAATATGTATAGACACGGTGAGTGAAGCCGAGAGCAAGATATGCCTCGTCATATTTTCTGCATTTAGCTTTTGAATGACCAGCACCTGCCTGGGTCTGTGCGACTTCATCTATGGCTTTTCTCTTCGCTTTCACAAACCGATCCATCTCCCATTCTAAGTTACGTCCTTTGGCTGTTTACTGTTTTATTTCTTTTCTTTTTCTGCTGATGACTTGAAGCAGCGCTGCTTAGACCGATGGGGTGTGTCATCAAAGTACTGAGAGAGCTATAAGAGAGCGAGGACGTCTCCTTATGCTTTCTCTCGCCGTACTTTGATGTCATACACCGATCTGATCTTCAAGTCGAACACACCTCTTTACTCTCGCCTGTCACGTGACCGTGTAATCGCAGCCTCTGCGATGGAAAAATCGAAAATTTTCACATCGCGATATTATCGCAAATGCAATTAATCGTTCAGCCCTAGTTGTTTTCCCTATGGAGTCCCGCACATGACATGCTGGGGGGGAAAAAAATGACAAAAGAAAATTGTGGCCACAAATGAAGAATTCTTAGAATCACTATAATAATACTCAATGTGTTATGTCAATATAAGCACAAAGTGGTGTTCTTTAAACCAAAAGTTCAGGTTAGTGGGTGAATATCTGGCCAAGCAAACCAAGATTACGGAGTCCTGAACATGAGATATGGCTAACAATTACGAATTTGTTACTCTCTTTTATTGAGTTAAAATTGTGGCTTGGTTTGACTAAAACTAGGGAACTAAATTGTACAACATGGTCACAATTTACCTAAAGCGAGGGAACAAATTGATGTGATTTTTTTTGCCTCATGTCATGTGCCAGCAACGTAGCTTTGGTTTACCTGTCCAGATATTTAACCACTAAGCTGAAGTTTTTATTTTACCATTCCATCCTCCCAAAGTTAAAGGGGTCATATGACGTTGCTAAAAAGAACATGGTGTAATGCAATGTGTTTATGTGGTTTAAGGTTAAAAAAACACATTATTTTCCACATAATGTACATTATTGTTGCTCCTCTATGCCTATACTCTATGACATATACTGTTAGGTGAAGCCCCGCCCACGAACCCCGCCCCCTACCATTTTTTTTTGGAAAACTAAAGTATGGTCACCCTATTATAAATATACTTACTTATTATGAAAATACCAGAGATGGCTTAAATAACACAGATAAACTATATTGTCGCAGTCGAGCGTTTATTGTCTTTGTTTTATCATTCAAAACGTTTATATGTTCTGTTTACTCAGTTACAGATATAATAGCGATGCCTTTGTCCATATAAGGGATTTCCTGGAGGGTCATGAGTTCTCTACTTCTGTGACTGGATATGTGGATTTTCTGTGCGAGGGCGCCCTCTGCCATCCAGTACTAATGAAACAGACATCATGTGTTTATAGTGCTAATGACCAATTTTTAATAAGTATCGATTTGGCACCGGTATC